GCTATCTTTTTCTGTCCACCACCTCTGTCTTCTCTGCATCTGCCATCAAGATCACTACGTTACAACAACACTGCCTTTCACTTTAATTTTCAGCACTTTGCTGAATCTGGAAGCAGTGCTCTTCACACTGCATTTTTGCTGAACTTCTTGAATCTATAAACTATGTCTTCCACAGATGTTAGAAATTTGTAGCCTTTGTTTCTTAAAAACCATGCTTTTCTACACCAATCTGGCTGCTTACGAAACTTCCGACTTTCCTCCAGCCAACAGAATGCTGATTGGCGTGTCTTTTGAGGTTCACTATTGGCTGCAGGTGAATTATTAGTCTTCAGTCACCAAGCATACTTTAATTTCTTTTTAATTCCTGAAGATACTTTTAGGAGATCCAGAATGCTTGGTTTAAAGGCTTCCCCTCTCTCAACCATTTAAAAATCATGCTACATTATTTTCTTGCCTATATGATTTCTGATGAGAAATCTACACTAATCAGAACTTTAAAAAAATTCAGAGCTATTTTCCTCTGTCATTCTTTAAAAATTGTGATTATTGAAGACAAATTATGACATTTTCTATTGGGATTTTCAGTATATATAAATGTAATTAATTTAACAATAATAATATCATGGCGGAGGATAATGCACTCTCTTGCAGAACTTCTGTTAGCCTTTGCACTATGTTTAAGGTCAATTGAGAGAGAGATTACTTATTCCAAAACATTGGGACAACATGCATTGTTGATATGAAAGGGGAGGAGTGATGTCTTCACATTGTTTGGAGGGTGGGCACGATGCGGGGTGTCTTTCATAATGGAGCCTCAGTGCTTGGGTTGAAATGCTCTCCAGGAACTTGCCATGGGGCTGAATAGAAAATCAGGGTGGAGGACCAGCTTGTGCTGAAAGGGAGGCTGGGAAAAGAAGCAGGTCTTAGACAGATGGAATCCTGTAGCATGAATCTAAAGTGGTCTTTTTAATAAAAACAAACCCGGAGCCAGGTATTGGGGTGAATGCTGGAAGATCAGAGAAGCAGAACAAGCCACAGCCACCTCACCTCGCCAATTCCTCAGCTGATCCTGTTTTCTCAGACTGGAAGCCTCTGAGTCCTTATCCAAATGGATCTCAGCTGAACTGCTTCTTAAAAGCCTGAAAGCTTAACCAGGCTAGTTCCTGGTCCTCATGCCTTATATACCTTTCTGCCATCACTTCCTGGGATTAAAGGCTCTTGTCACCACGCCTGGCTGTTTCCAGCGTGGCCTTGAACTCACAGAGATCCAGAGGATCTCTGCCTCTGGAATGCTAGGATTAAAGTTGTGTGTGCCACCATTTTCTGGCCTCTATATCTAGTGGCTGTTCTGTTCTCTGACCCCAGATAAGTTTATTAGGGTGCACAATATTTTGGGGAACACAATATCACCACAGAATCCTGGGAACCTACTGCAAAAGAGGGGCCCGTGGGACACTGCAGGGGACCGTCTGGAACTCAGGAAAGGGGTGCAGGGAGAACTTGACTGCAAAACAGAGGTGCCGATGATGACTCTCAAAGGGGGAATAGTCATGGTTTGCAGAAGTCACAGGAGAAGGTCCACTCGCCTGCGAACGAGAAGACCGGGAAGGAGGAAGCTGCTCCTTCTTAGAAGGGCTGAGGAGGCAGTATCTTTAGGACGGGCTGGGTTTCAACATCAGAAAGAGCCCTGGGTAAAGGCTTGAAATTGTAGACAAGGTAGAGTGGGGGCTTCGTGAATAGTAGCATTCTGTGTCGAAGGAAGTTGGGGGTAGCGGCTGTGGTTGGCTCTTACGGGGAAGATGGGAAGGTGATAGACAACACTGGTCAGACAGCCTCAGGTTTCCTGTCAGAAACAGTCTGGGCTATTGGAAACGTCATGATAGCAGAAGGAAGCAAATAGTTGACCAGAAGTTCTGCTTGGTAATTTGTCCTAAGTGTGGTGTCTAAAATCGAAGGCACAGTGGCCATTTTAATTGAGGTAATTACTGCTCTGAGAAGTACCCATCATTCTAACTAATGGGAGCTATTCTTTGCAGGCCTTTGTTGGGCTGAATGATCCCACCGTGGTTTTTCGGAAACTGGGGATTGGGGAACGGGGGGGGGGGGGGGGGGGGGGGGGGGGGGGGGGGGGATGGAAATGCCTGGGATGGGGTACATGTTTTCATCTCATGGTGATAAGATGGTTTTGGAGCTCAATAGGGATGACAGTTTATCAATAATACTGAATTGCATAGTCGTTTTTCATGTTGTGTGTAAGAAACATTAAATATTAATCTTTTCTATCAAACACTGTAAAACATGTGTTTGTGACAAAGAGTGCAGATCTTTTACTCTTTCTTATCTTGTAAAACTTTCATGAAAATGTTCGAATCCTAGGCAATATTTTAATCCATCCACCCAGTAAAACCTTTGTGTACACAAAGGCCTTGCTGCATTCTCAGAACAAAAGTGAATTCCGTGGCCCATCCCTTCCCCCTTTCCTTCATTCCCTTTGCCCTGATTCTTTAAAACTAGCTAACTGCAAAAGACGGTGAGATCATCCCCCAGCCAAGGGAGGGGGGGAGATACAGTCACCACCTTCGATAAAAACCAAGTGCAGTTCTTACCCAGGTATACTTGCTGGTTTGAACACACCTTCTTGATCAAGAGTAAAACTTTCCCATCTAAGGTTCAGGGGGTATTTTTATTTGTTTGTTTTTATTAAAAAATTTTTTATTCATTTTACATACCAACCACAGATCCCCCTCTCATCCCTCCTCCTGCTCCCTCCCCCAGCCTTCCCCCCCAGCCCAACCCCCAGACCCTCCTCTGAAAAGTTAAGTCCTCCCATGGGGAGTCAGCAAAACCTGATACATTCAGTTGAGGCAGGTCCAAGGCCCTGCCCAGGGGGTATTTTGGAAGAAGGGGTGGGAAGTATATAAGAGCTGGAAGACAGGGGGAGGGGCTATAACGTGCCATTCTCTAGACTCACCCAACTACAGCAATCATTAGCTCACAACAACTGTGGTTACCTGTATGGGACCCATACAAGGTCAACTCTATCAACAATAAGTCAAGGAAGGGAGAGGAGCTCATGGAGCTCACCCTTTCACTCTGAACCATTGGCTATTGATAGTTTCTGCGAGAAGAGAACAACTGTCTTTAGTTGTGTGCAAACTGCTGAGCCTGCCTAGCTCCATCGGCTAGCTCCACACCCATTGTCACACAAATAGCCCTGGTTAATCTCAGTGGCTCACAAAACAAAACATATAGTCATGAATGAGAGGAGAGAGGAGGAGGGGGTTGGTAGGAGTGGTAGGGAGGTATGGAGAGAGAACGGTTGATACGCATTGAGGCCATGTGCAAAACTGCCTAAAAAACAAAATTCAATTAACAATAACAAAAGGAATAGCAATGGCTTAAACCAATTAAAAGTTTCTTTTCTGCCGGGCGGTGGTGGCGCATGCCTTTAATCCCAGCACTTGGGAGGCAGAGCCAGGTGGGTCTCTGTGAGTTCGAGGCCAGCCTGGGCTACCAAGTGAGTTTCAGGAAAGGCGCAAAGCTGCACAGAGAAACTCTGTCTCGAAAAACCAAAAAAAAAAAAAAAAAGTTTCTTTTCCTTCACCTACTCCACCTTTTTCTAGCCTCAAGTGTTATTGCAAACTGTGTTTTCCAGCTGTGTTCTCCCACCCCCAAACACACTAGAGTTCTGATTTTTTTATAAGAAAGAAAGGGAGAATGGGTATTAGGTTGGTAGATTGCTGGAAGCTTTGTCATATTTGATAAAGATTAGATCTAAGTCCCAGATCTGTAGAATCAGAAGGGAAATAGTTGGTGGCTGCTTCAAGCTTGGGGCTGGAGCATCCTGCTGGGTTAATAAGAGCTGTTCTTTGGATTCTGGTGTCATTAGACGGGATTCCAACCCAGAATGGACTCAAGATTTTGTTGGCTTTAGCCATCAGTGAAAATTCAAAATTCATCTCCATTGGGTCATAAAAATTGATTTGAATACCTATGTTTTGAGAAGTTGAGCTACTACCTAATTTTACCAGGTCCTCACTCGGGTAATTGAAAGGAAGGACCATGCAGTGAGATGCTGGTTAAAGTGGAGCATCTATGGCCATGCCGCTCCTATAATGCTAAAATCATCCATCCATTGCTCATCATTTGTCAGGTACCTGCTGCAAATCAGATCTGATGTCAGGCACTAGGAACTCACAAATAAATAAAGGGCCGGTGCTGATGTCTGAGAGGCTCAGTGCGGCAAGAGGGAAAGTGGGCAGGTGCTGCTGTGTGGAGGGGTCTTGGCTGCTCTTTTGTAACTCATGGTGACTGATTTGAGCATTTCTGGACTTTCTACTCTAGTTTATTTCAGAGGGCAGGGATGGAGGAGGGGAAAGGTACAGAGAGAAAGACAGAGAGAGACAGAGACAAGGAGAGACAGACAGAGATCATATAAAATCCCTAGGTTTATTTTGTTTGTTTCTTAGGTTTTTTTTTGTTGTTTGTTTGTTTTGAGATAGAGACACCGTGGTTAAAGGAAAACTCCTAAATCTTAACATCTCAGCAGAGGCACTTCCTCGCTGAAAATGGCTGGTGAAAGAAAACATCTATTCTCAAAAGCCTTTCCTGCTCAGGACCAACATTTGGGTTTTTATTTCTGCCTTGCTTTTTCTCTATTCTGTTCTCAGCATCTCTGTTGGTTTTTCAAGGAGAAAATTTCCCCTTTAGGCCTAGCACAGTAGTATTTGCACAGAGCTAGGAGAACAGTGTGGCTCTAGAATGTACTTCTCGAGTAGCAATATTCTAAGAGATAAATAGAAAAATGGACTGGCTGATTACTACTCTGTGAAAGCTTCATGCTATTTCATGGCTAATATTGACTGACAACTTGATAGGACCTAGAGTCTCCTAGCAGGCAAAACACTGGCAGCACCACTCCGTGGGCTGGGATCCCTGACTAAATAAAAAGGAGAAAGCAAGCAGAGTGCCAGCATTCATCTCTCTCTGCTTCTTCACAGACGCCATGTAACCAGCTGCCTCGTGTTCCCCGCCACGATGGACTATACCCCCTTGAACTGTAAGACATAACAAAGCCTTCCTCCCTTAAGCGGCTTCTGTCAGCTGGGCTTATTACCTACCAGAGCAACAGAACTGCAGAGAAGAATTCGGGTCCTGCCCGGAGATTGCAGAGAAGAGGCAAGAGAATGATGATCTGGGAGAGAGGGGGAGGCTGCTGGAGGAGAGGAGCTGTGGTCAGTCCTAAGGTGGTAAGGTGCCTGCATTTTGAGGGCATGGAGATATAAGAGAGCATGGTATCTATAAGGAACAGCTCAGGGGAGGGTGGCAGTTGCCTACGCCTTAAGTCCCCATCTTGGAGATTGAAAGAATTGCTTTCATGATGGTCTGGCAGCCAGGCCACCAGTCAAGTCTAGATTCCTCAGGGGAATAAATGTCACTTCCTCATGTGCATTGGGGTTGGGTGGTGGGGCACAGGGCTAAAGGGCATATGGAAGGGGAGGTGTTGTGAGTATGTTGGGATGAGTGGTGCTGCAGGCCTTCTCTGTGAGGGGAAAGGACTTTTGAACATTGGGAGGACTGTTTCTGCCACAGTGGATTAAACTTAACAGCAGATTCACTCAGGAGTTAAACATTCATTCCTCATAATACATTAGTACGCCCATTTACAAATGGGAAAGGAGTCATGGGGGAATTATGTAAATTTTTAGACCACTCAGCTAGTTAGATGTGTGGTGAGGAGGCTGGGGAATTGGAACCTCCCCTGTGGTTTGGTACTATCTACATCCTTGATTCTTTTTTCTAAACTCCCCCACGGCTCATTGCTGGGGCAGGCACATCCTTCGAAGTCCACCTCCTCTGCTTGCTGAAATCATAACTATTAGATTTTGATCTCCATGTTGGTGAAATCTGCAGTTTCTCCTTCCACCTCTAGCAACTGCTGCTTTCTCGGATTACAGAGAGCATGCTGATGCTGGAGCCCACTGACCCACCCCTCTGTCCGTGACCTTTACCTACCCAGCTGAGCACAGAGATTTACATGTAGAGATGCTCATTCGCCTGGAGCGGCTATTGAAGATGCACTGGGCAGTGAAGTTGCAGGTGCCCGGCCTCACACATTCCAGGTAAACCAAAATCTTCCTTTGATGGGAGTCATGAAGAAAACCTATTCATTTTTTGCCTTAACAGTGAAAGCAGGGGCTCAGAGCCTGCTACAATCTGCAAGCTTCAGTGAACCTCCATGCCAGCTCACCACCAAATAAAACAAGTTGCCAGGCTCAGCTTCTGTTCAGAGAAGTGTGTGGGAGTGGGTGGAGGGCATGCTTGTCCGTGTGTGCACCTGCAAAACAAAACCTAAATGTGAAAACAGCCATATTTTTAAGAGACTGACCAAGGATGTTTCTCTGTTCACACAGAGGTATTTGGACACTTAAGGCCCCCAAGGGACAGTAGAGCAACCGTCTGTTTCCGTGGACAAAAAACAAGAGCAGGCTAGGGTACGCGCATGGGCGTATCGGTCTCCGTTTGTGGTTATTGCTGCTTGTATCACAGCCCTAATATCAATGTTTCAGCATTTTTTTTCTGCTATTGCCTTTAGGGTCATTTGTCATATAGAACATGATATTTGCTGAAGAAATCAACCCTAACTTTATTATTTAATGGAAGAAATGTGCCAAGTATGATGCTCTGGGAGGCTTCGATCTTTATTGCTAGTGACAGCAAGTCTCTCAGAGGCTTCTGTGGCTGGAGACCTGGAGTCATCTCTCTAACACTGTGTCAAGATGGAGAGTCTGCTGGAGGAGAGCATCAGTGAGCCTGGGCCAAGATGCCTGTACCAGGTCGCAGGTGCCTACTGCTGCATGCATACAGGGACCTGCCTATGTGGAGGTCCCTCCAAGGCCACTTCAACATGATGGAATTATAACAGCACCCTGCACAGGGATCAGAAAACAAAATGCCACCCATGGAGAACACATTCCAAAACACCACAGAATTCACTGGGGTAGGGGGTGGAGCTCCATAGAATCCACTCCTGGGGGTGGGTAGCTTCACAGAATCCACTGTGGGGATACCCTAGCTCCACTGAGCCTGCTCACCCTTTTTTGACTTACAAATGTCCTTTTGGTTGATGGATCAAGATACATTATATACAAGTATACAATTGTCAAAGAATAAAAGATGCTTTAAAAAGAAATTAATGTGGTTATTCCATTTTTCTGCCCGTGACAGGTTAGAAAGGATGTGGAATTTTGTCCATCATAGGCAGCAGGCAGTGGAATAGATGTTATTGCCAGAGCCCATGTGTGAGCGGTGACCATGATATTCCTTCTTGTTAGATATTGCTCATCAGTAACTGTTGACACCTCCAAGCCAGCTGCAGCCTGGGCATCCTCCTTAACTCTGAACTTCAGGTGACACAAGAGAAACCTTTTGTTTCTGCTAAAAGGAACTCTGTGACAGTCACGATTAGGCCTCTGATTGACTTGGAGACATAGTTCCACTTGCTCTTCCTTGGTCATTTTTTTAAATTAGAAGTTGAGTAAAATTTTTATTTAGATTTAGTGTTTTTAATAATTTGGGATGAAATTTGTTGCCTTTTTCCTCTCAAATTTTTTCTTTTATAGAAAAAGTCAGTTTCCATCTGTGTCAGTCAGTTTTTTTTTATCACTGTAACAAAGTGCCTGAGATAAATAAGTTATAAAGAAGAAAGGTTTATTTTTGTCTCTCAGTTTCAATTCTTTCTTCCTTCCTTCTTTCTGTAGTTCTGGGGATTGAACCCAGGGCCTCTTGCATGGTTTTGAGCCACAGCCTCAGCCTTTCTTTCTTTCTTTATCTATTTACTTACTTACTTACTGAATTTCTATTGTGAGACAGGTCTCCTATGCTCAACTTGAGCTCTTTCTGTAGGCCAGTCAGGTGTTTAACATTTGCTTTTCTTTCCTCAGCCTTCAGATTAGCTGAGGTTACAGTCCTGTGCCACTTGGCCTGTTTTATTTTTTCTTTTAAGTGTACATTTTTGAAGGAACTTTTGTTTCTTGAGTTTATTGTGTAAGTGTGATGGGTAGACTCATTTGAGCTCAATCTCCAGTCTCCAACCCCTCCTCAGCAGTTGGTTGATATCATGTGACTTGGAGAACCCAACGTCTATCATGTGGCTCACCCTTTTGATATGGCCAGGCCCAATCCTGAGCCATCTCCTTCACATAAACAAAGGAGTTGTCATCCACCTCACTGGCTTGCACTAAATGATCTGGGCCTGCCATAAAAAACAAAGGCCCTCCAAGGATCTGGAGACAAAAGCCAGACATCCTTTTCTTGCATAGGATGGACTATCCTATATTCACTACTGCATGTCAATGGTTTGGAAATTCACGTGTTCTATTCATGTTCCAACCCCAATGAAAAGGGGATTTTTCACTTGCTGTTTACAGTGGCTGATGCCTTTCTAACAAACATGCATCAGGATTTACAAAGTGGGCATCTAGAAGAAAATTCTAGACACAATGGTGGAGCATCCTCTAGAGAATCATGTGTCTGCTGGATATGATGACTTATGCCTGTGATCACAGCACTTAGGAAGGAGGCATTGGGATCCATAGTCAGTTTCTACTCTCAGCTACACAGCTGGGGCCAGCTCCCTGCCCCAGACCCCATCAAAAAAGGATATACAGCATCAACAAAGCTCCCTTGCTGTGTAAATACATCCCTTTTATTTATTTTTCTTTAGGAGTACATGAATAGTGGACATGTTATAGTGTTTGGTTCATGGTGTTTTACACTCAGTAAAAGGTGGAGCTTTGTAACTATTTTCTCTTTTACTGTATTGTGAACATTTTTCACATCACATTTGCTGTTTGCCTATTGTCTAATATCCATCGCCTTGCTCTGTAACCAGCTGACCGTGAAGCTTCCTGGCTGTGGCCCTGCAAAACACAGACCCAGGGACAGGAATTTACAGAAGAGAGAACACTATCTCATTGAAGGGCTAATTATTCCACCCCAGGCTTAAGGTGTCCTAGGGATGGTACTACCGTACTGAAGGATAGTCCCTTGAGATTAGTCAGCCCAACTGGAATGCTAGGTCTCTACCCAGGTCAGAGGTTTTGCCTTCTTAGCCAGAAGGAACCAGCTTCCCATCAAGGACCTTCACTGATGCTGTGTTGTCTTTCGCCCAGCCCATGAAGAAGCAACCCTAAAATATTTCAGGCTGAAACTGGGGGATAAATATAACCCATTTTCACCGTGAACACCTAGAGGGCCAGTTCCAAAGCTGTTTTCTAGGAGGGATTATGGGTGCCATAGTTGAGGGCTTCCTTCCTTCCATCTGACAGTTACACAAATAAAGCCACTGGTGCATTTTAGGGATCTTTTAATTTCCTCGATTCTTAATGAAGTTGGATCTATTCATTTTTTTTTTCTCCCACTACTACAAATCAAAGCTAGGGTTTCCCACATGCTAGACAAGAGACTGGCTATTTTCTTTCTTTCTTTTTTTTTTTTTTTCATTTTGTGTGTATCTGTTGTTCCTTGGGTAACTTGCACTCTTTAAAAATTTTGGGTTTTATTTAAAGAAAGAAAGTCTCCCCCTACCCTGGAACTCACTGATTTCCTGTCACTGCCTCCCCAGCTGTGGATTACAAGTACATACTACCGTAACCTACCTAGCTTTTTTTTTTTTTCAGTGTGGGTTACAGAACCACTTGACTGACTGAGCAATCTCTCCAAAGCTGGGTATTTTCAAAACATGTTAGCCATTTGTATTTTTCCTTTTATAAGTTGCTTGTTTTTTTTCTATTAAACTTTACTCTTTACTTTTTTATTAAACTTTTTGTCTTTTTTTCTCACATATATTATTATATTTTCTGCACTGCTCTCCCCTCCCCCTTAAGGGTCTTTCTGTGTAGCTTAAGTTGATCCTTCTGCCTCCAGGTTCTGGGTGCTGATATTACAGGCATGGGTTGGATTGCCTTTGAATTTTGGCTTAACTACCCTTTAATTACCATGTGACATGGTGCCATGTCACATCTGAACCAAAGACAAAGCAGTCTCAGGAACTTTCAGTTGGCCAAAACTTTCTGTTTCTCAGCCCTTAGGTGAGACAGGCCAGAGGAGGGTTATGACCCTATCTGATGTGTACTCTCAGTGGGTGAGCTCCCCATTCACAGGCAGTCACTAGTTCCAGCTTGCTGACGGGGAAGCAGAGGCCCCCAGGGGCAAGGACTCTGCACATGGTCCACTGGAGTGGAAATGCTTCAAGTGCCTGGGTCAACAGCTCTGTGTGGAACATAGCCTTGGAAGGACATCAGCCGTGGCCCACCCGGAGAGCCTGGTCATGGGCAGATCCTTTTCTCTACAATTGAAATCCTTGGCTCCTACTTCTGTAGAAGGTCAGCTAAGCCTACACCCAAGATGCTCATTAGGTAGCAGTGGAAGGCAATAGATTCTTTGGTAAGACCTTTCAAATGAGAAATGCTCAGGGCTACCTAAGTCATCAAAATAAACATCATAAACCTTTTCCAGGGGCCAAAAGAGGCTCAGGCTGGCTGTGATCTGGTCCCTCATGGCCATTGCTTCTGAAAACTAGTGACATGTTTGTCTTCAAAAGCCTCTGCTATCAATGAACAAGGTCTTGGTATTTGTCAGGGGGGAAATAAAAGGAAGGGAGATGACATTTATTAAGAACGTACTAAGTGCCAGGTGCCGTGCTCAGCACTTTCCAGTAGGCAGATTCAACTAAGGGAGGAGTGTTCACCTGGGACGTGAAAACTCAACAGTTCAGAAAACAAGAAGGACTTGTTTGTAGCTGCAGTTTTCCTGTGTCCCGGCTTGCTGGCAGTCGGGGCAAATCTCTCCCACTAGCGTCCCCTTTGACATCAAAATTTGGATCTAAGGATATGTTGCTTTGGAAAGGAGGCTCTGCTTTTGTTTCCACAGAAAGCAAGAGGCTATGGATTTGTTCCAGATTAAGATACATCAGGTTTGACCAGCCAAGACCCCCTGAAAGGTCTCCGATGGCAGCATGGCCCAGATGATCCAACATCCAGAACAGTTTCAAGGTGACTGGCTCAGACAATGCAGCCTCACGGACTACCCCATAATCCTAAAATTTTCTTTACGTCCCCATAAGAACAGTGCCCTCATCCAGCAGGAAGTAGTATGAGAAGCTATGCCCAAATTTCCAACTATACCAAGCTGGCTTTGGAGATAAAATTGGCTCACTCCTCTAAACCCAAGCATATTCTTAAAATAAAAGGTTGAGAGATTCTTGTGTCCCATATCAGAAGAGCCCTCTGGTGTGGGACAGAGAAAAACCAATATTTTTATTTAAAACAGGTTGATTATAAATGCAATTTCTTTCTAAAGAAAAAAAAGGGGATATAGATATGATCTGATGAAAGGGTAGATTAATTAACCTACTTTTAAAGAGTAACAACTTGTTTAGAAATGTTTTACATTGCTATGGATTTTAGTTTATTGATACAAGTTTAAACTTAATTTTGTTATACTGTATATATATTTCTACTCTTATTTGAGGTATTATGTTTATGTAACTCATTTAGATTGTAATGGATAATTAAAAAATATAGATTAATAGTCTTCTATGATAGTCAAACTTATAGCCATGTTAGTTAAGTTTTCTAGGTATACATAGATATATTTCAGATAGATAGGTAATCTTCAAACACTTCAAAGACCTACAGAATATGGCATTTTAAATGTTTTAAAACTTTAGACTTTCTGGACAGTGAGACATGTCTGTTCCTGGCAGTGCTGATTTACTTCAGAGAGGAGAATTGGGGGAACAGGAAGGTGGAGTCAGGGAGAGACCCGGCCACCCACCATGAGGAGAAACATGATGTAAGATACTGGTAAGTCACTAGCCACATGGCAAGGTATAGATTTATGGAAATGGATTAATTTAAGATATAAGAACAGATAGCAAGAAGCCTGCCACGACCATATAGTTTATAAGTAATATAAGTCTCTGTGTGTTTACTTGGGGGACGCTAGTGAGAGAGATTTGTCCTGATGTGGGCCAGACAGGACCAGGAAAACTTCAACTACACTTGTTACTTAAGGGTTCATGCTTAAAATAAAGAAGAAAAACCAAGGACCTGGAAACCAAGCCACTCTTCACACACACACACACACACACACACACACACACA